CTACCCACCTGTAAAGGTCTTCTACCCAGAGCCCTATTGTAATTGGACCGTGTTAGGAGAGCCCGGGTGTGCCAATCCTTAGGCCTGAGTCCTTGAGGAGTTTAGGGTTTAGGGTTTAGGGTTTAGGGTTTAGGGTTTAGGGTGAGGGTTGTGTCCGTAACCCCACATGAGTTGGAGATATGAGGCTCGCCGCGAAAGCCTGCTGCTTTAAGGCCTTTTGGTTTAGGGAGGGTTTAAAGTCTTAGGTTTTAGGGTTTAGGGTTTAGGGTTTAGGGTTTAGTTTTTAGGGTTTAGGGTTTATGTTTAGGTTGCAGGGTTCAGTTTAACCCTGGAAGCTGTGCGTGTTCGGGGTGGAGTCGCTTGCAAACACCGGCTGACACCTGGCATGCCAGGGTCTGCTTCCTGCAGTTCTGACGGAGGCGCACCGAGTGAATCTTGCCTTGCAGGTTCGGCGTTTTAGGGGTTTAGGGTTTACATGGTAGGTTTTGTCTAACTTACTCAGACGGTTTGAGGTGAAGATGCGTAGGGTTTACGGTGCAGTTGGTTTAGGTGTGAGTGTAATGTAGGAACCTGATTAAGAAACCCTGGCCCTAGAACCCCAATAGCTTAGGGGCTCATATTAAGAACCCTAATAAAGGCCCGGGGTCTCTTAATCAGGCTTAAACCCTAAACCCTAAACCCTAAACCCTTAGACCCTAAACCCTCCCTAAACCAAAAGGCCCTAAAGCAGCAGGCGTTCGCGGCGAGCCTCATATCTCCAACTCATGTGGGGTTACGGAGTTTCGATGCCAGAGTCGCATGTGAACGGTTTCTTTCAGACGTACATTCCTGAGACAGGAATTCTGCAATGTAGGGCACAGATCGTGGCTTTGCCCGGCAGTCGAGATGATTTGAGGAATAAGTTCGAAGAAGGTTCGAAGCTTGAAGCACGGCGAATTCCAGAAAGGTGGATCATGGGTTTAGGCGGATCAGTGTTAGGATCCTGTATACTTTACCTTCAGGGTACGAGGATAATATTTTTCCAACTTTCTGGGTCAATAGGCGAGTACGAGGAGTCATGAGAAGTTGCTGGCGGCAGCGTTTATTCGATGACGATGTCGATAGCCGAACTCCACTGACGAGGATCTGCATGATGATGTTGATGATAATGATCATGGCATGAGGATGGCGAGGGTGAGGATGAAGATGAGGTTGAATGAGTATGAGGATTGTGGTGGTCGCGATGATAATGATGTATTATAATGAAGAAGCTGCTAATGATGGCTGTGGTGATGACGACGATGATGATGATGATGTTGTCGTTGTGCATGACAAGAGCAAGGAGGACAGGAGTACGATGAGGAGCAGAGTTGAGCAAGGGCGGAAAGCTCCGTCAAGTCTGGGGCATAACAGGCATCACTTTCTACCCGAGGCGCATTGATTGCCGCCTCGGTCTTTGTGATGATGAAACACTATTGAACCTTCTACAAGTCCCTGTGTTGCAAGTGGAGTACAGTAAGCCAGACAATTACGTCATCGCAGATCGTCGTTTTTGCGAGTTCAATCAGGCTAAGCGGATATGCATTCATATGCATTTCAATATCTAGGTGCGCCACGGAGAACCATTCAAACAACAAGCACGACCACAAGTAACTAGAGTATACAGTATACAGTATAAATTTGTCATATGCAGTACCTCTGTGTACTTCCGCATGTCTGTGCACAGTGCTGTGCATGTTCTGCATGCGCTTGCGATGGCGGCGACAGCGGCGACAACGACCATGTGAGGGTTGTTCTAAAGGTCCTTGTCTACGGTTTATACAAGATCGGCAATGT